CCCCATTTACAAAGACTTTGGTTTTTTTTTTTTTTGGTACAGGGGATTGAACTCGGGTCTTTTCGCTTGTGCAGCAGGTGGTGAAACTGCTGAGCTAAATCCCCGGCCCAAGACTGTTTTTAAGTACCTCTTGAAGTGAAATATGTTCTTACTTGTCAACAGCATACTGGCTGATTCCTTGATAAAAGAATCTACTTTTATATGCACATCAAGTAATATATCTTTTTATGTGATTAATCCAAACTAGGAATCCTGTTTATTTATACTCATAGGGCCAGGGATTTAGCTCAGTGTTTCTGCCACCTGCCTTGCAAGCACAAGGACCTGAGTTTGATCCTCAGTACCAAAAAAAAACAAACCAGGGAGCTGGTTAAAATGTTAACCCCCTCAGCATGGGTATTTACACTCATAAATCAGAGGCAACTGAATCATCACACAATGTCACAGAGGAAGCGTGTTGAGCCAAGACGATTCACACGGTGTGATTCACAGTGGGGGAACGGCTTCTGGTGCTCGCTGTGGCTGTCGGGAACACCCTGCACCTCAGAGCAGTCTGCTCTGTGTGTCGTCGCGCGTCGTCTCAGAGCTCCAACTGTCCAGGGCCTCGGGCTGCTCGGGGCGCCTATCAGACAGGGCCTGCCACACCCAGACAGGCTCAGCCCCAGCTGCAGCCAGCGCTGGAGAAGCTTCCTGCTTGCCTTGCCTGAGTCTCACGGCTGCTCTGAAGGCCCGGAACGTTTTGGTGGACTTTTTTTTTGTTACCAAGATCAAACTCGGGTCCTTGCCCTTACAAGGCAGGCAGTGGCAACACTGAGCTAAATCCGCGGCCCAGGTTGACTTTTTTTTTAATCATCCCAACAGAAACTCAATACCCATTAAACAATGATTCTCTCCCCAGCCCACGGCAACTTTTGGTACTGGGGACTGAACCCTGGGCCTTCACACATTCCCTATAATACTACCCTTTAAAATTTTTGAAACAGGGCCAGGGACGTAGCTCAGGGGTTCCACTGCCTGCTTTGTAAACGCAAGGAACCGGTTCGATCCCTGGTACCACAAAACATAAACAAACAAACATTTTGAAGCAGGGTCTTGCTGTGCTGCCCAGGCTGGGGCTGAGCTTGTGACCTTCCTGCCTCTGCCTCCCAGGATGCTAGGGTCACAGGTGTGCGCCGCCACATCGACTTCTAGGCTCCTACTTTCTGTCTGTGAATTAGACTGTTAATCAGCGCCTCATAGAAGTGGAATCACACAGAATTTGTCTTTCTGTGTCTGGTTTCACTTAATGCAATGTTCTCAGGGCCACCTGCATCGATGCATGTGTCAAAATGTCCTGCCTTTTTGGGGTATAGTAATATTCCACTGTATCCATTTTCTTCATCCGATTCATCTGTTGGTGGAGACTTGAGTACCTTCTATTTCTTGGCTATTGTGAATCTGCTTTTTAAATTTTTTTTTTCACTTGGTAACTCAAACCAAGTGACTAGCTCATTGTTCCTTGGCCTTGTAGCTGAACTAGCTAGGTCCTCCAAATGGGAGCGCGCTCAGGGAAGGGAGAGGTGCAGAGCGGAGTCGGACCAGGCCCAGACGTGGCTGCCATCGGGCTTCACTGTACACTGTGGGCCGGCCCGGAGGAATTAGCGCGCGGTCCCGGTCCCGAGATCCAAAGCCCTTCCCTGAAAACCGAGGCTGCCGCCTGCTCGCCAAGCTACAAAGGGCTGAAATGCGGAACGAGGAGCAGCCCGAGGTGCAGCGAGCCTGTTCTCACTGCTTCCACCTCGGCCTCTCCCAGCGTCCGGGCCCAACATTCCGCACCCAGCCTCGGGCTGCCATAAACAATCTCCGCTCCCAAAGACCTCGCTCCGCCCGCCGCCTGGAGGGCAGAGGGAACACGTCTCGGCTCAGACTCCTTTCCTTTTAAACACAGATGCCACCTGCCGGCGATTTACAGAAGTGTTCGTGGGGAATCAGCTCGCTCTCACTCTGCCCCTCCGGGGTCACAGAGTCCGTAGTTTTCGTGTTTCTAAACAGTGCCTAGTGGCGGTCCGCAGCCACGGCTGTTATCAAAGTCATGGTTGAATTATTTCAAAAACAATTTTCCAGCTTCACAACAGACATAAAGCATCAGATCGCACAGATGGGATGGGAGATCGATGTTGATAACAACGTGACAGAGTGCAGCTCTGGGAGGGTCCAGGCGAACCACTGCCGGGGAGACAGCGCAGAGCAGCTCCGCTGTGCTGCTGGCCAGCATCGCCAGGCTCCGACCCCGCTGGACAAGCTCCAATCTCCTCTCCCCTCCCTCTCCCTCTCCCTCTCCTCTGCTCTCCTCTGCTCTCCTCTGCTCTGGTCTCCTCCCCTCTCCTCCCCCTGCGCACCCCTCCCCTGAGCCTTGTGTCAAGCAGCTGGGAAGAAAGGCAGCAGGGCGGGCTCTGCTGGCCGCAGGCCCTGAGCTATGCTCTGAGCTGCCGTTTGGGACTTTCTCCAACCGCTACCCCCCAGGAAGTCTTGTCTGTGAGCACCGGAGTATTTTTGAATGAGGTAGGTGATTCTCCAAACCGAACGAGGCCGAAACACTGTAGCTTTCTTGGCATAATGTTTATTGAAAGTTCCATTTCAGAGTAGAGCATGTCTAGGAGAGCACTATTTACACCGGCTACGCAATACATCCAGAAATTTTATGAAATATTTCCAATACAATATAAATTACAGGTCACTATATACACAGGCACACACATCACATATAATCTTCAAATGTCTTTAAAAGTTCAAAACATGTCCTGGATATGCAAATGAACTAAAATGTATCTAAAATGTTTTGTTTTTTGTTTTTTTGGTACCGGGGACTGAACTCTCGTCCTTGCACTTGCGAGGCAAGGCAGCTGAACCACTGAGCTAAATCCCTGGCCCCTAGTGTCCAAAATGTTAAAGCCCCCTGATAAAGAACAAAGTTAAGACCCTGACAAAATGAGATGCCCGTCTCAATGATTTATTGCCAGTGGGTCCATTAGAACACAACTGAAGACTTAAACCTGGAGGACGCGCGGTACCTGGGCCTCGCGGTCCTGCGCGGCTTCAGCGCCCTCTGCGGGGAGCACCCGCGGGAGGGAGCGGCCCCTCCCCGCGTCCCCTCCCCGCGTCCCTGTGGCCCAGGCCCAAGTCCTGCCGAAAATGCGGCCTTAAACGCGGCGCCGTCCCGGCTGCGGTTTCTCTCTGTCCAGCAGGTGGCAGCGGCGCACCGCCGTTCTCCGTTACCAGGGCCGGCGGGAAAGCCCGGCCCACCTCCGCCCAGGTTAGTGGAGGGCAAAGCTGGAAGTGAGAACAAAGAAGGGGGACGCTAACGAGATCCTAAGGCCAAACTAGTGCCAGCTGCTAACGAAAGAGGTGTAACCGTGAGAAACGTATCCGTGAAATCCTGTTGCGGACAAAGGATGCCCAGGAGGGGTGAAATCCAGACACCTCTGGGTTTCTTCTCCTTCAAGGCTCGAACCTCTAACCGAGGGCATTTTACTGAATTAGGCCAGGCTTATTTAAAAAGCAACTCGAGTGCCTCGAGGCTTTCCTTCTGAGTTCAATTAGATGTTAAGATGTATCCAGTGGCCAGTCGTGGTGACACGGGCCTGTAATCACAACACTTGAGAGGCTGAGGCAGGAGGGTCATTGTGAGTTTGAGGCCAGCCTGGGCTACAGAGCGAGACCCTGTCTGAAAAAAAAAAAAGGTATCGAACAGCAAAAGCTAGTAACAGTAGTAACACTGCTAACTGATCTAGGTAATGAGCTAGATCGGGACTGCGGCCCTCCAGCCTTTCCCAGCCCCCCACGCTGTGGCAGAGCCTGGTCAATGAGCACCAGTGCAGCCAAGCACAGGCTTGGAGCAGCGCAGAGTGAAGGCCTTTCCTGTGCTCTGTGCCAACCTACAGGACCTACAGGACGCTTCTGTGTGGCTCACAACGGGCAGGTCAGCACTCACCTTTTTAGGGTTTCTGCTTCAAAATTCCTACTTTAAATACACACTGCTCTAGTGCTTGAAATCTATCCTGACAGAATAAGCCAAAGCATCAAAGGAAGTAGGAAACATCCTTTGCCCAGTCTTCTGTTTTTGAGATGGGCTCTCACGCGTGGCCCAGGCTTGCCTCAAGCGCCTGGGCTCCGGCCCTCCCCCCTCAGCCTCTGGCAGCTGGGACACTTGCGCAGTGCTCAAGCCCACCCTCTGCGGTGAGACCGCCAGAGAACCAGCTGTGGGACTCAACCCAGCAGAGCAGTTTGCCAAAGCTGCGACAAAGGAGAAAGAAGGGCACATAAGGGTTCACCCGAAGACACTGCCCCTCCAGGGAGAATTCTGTAAGGCAGAACTGGCTCGGGAGGATGAAGACTACAGGGGAGCAGGGCAGCCATAGAAACGGCAAAGAGCCCGGGCATTCGGGGCTCGGCGAGGGAGCCCGAGGGACTGTGTCCCACCCGCTGCGCCTCGTGCCTCCGTCAGCTCCTGTCACAGCCTAAGAAGGAAACAGCAGCTTCACACCACCAGCCCCCACTAATTTACTCTACTTCTGCTTCTAATCTCCTGTGTGATGATGAAGTGAGTGGACTGCTTACAAACTCTGCATCTCTGCCACATTTCAAAATCCACTTTTAGTCATACAAAGAGAAAAGCAGGGCACAGAAAAACACAGAAGCGGCATAATTCCAGGCATATGCTAGCTCAATAAATAATGCTTCCGGCCTGTTGTAAACATGTTATTTCATTATACATTCATCAGGCTTGCTGGGTATGGGCCAAAAATCATTTAATGCACCAAGAAAACTTTATACAACCCTCTGCATTTATTAAAGTTAAAATAATACTGTATTTACTTTGTAAAATAAGGTTAAGAAATAAGATTTCATTACTAGAACACTGAACTAAAAATAAGTGTAGCACAATGTATACAGAGGATAATAAATATTTGTTGAATGGAATTGGAAGTATGGATGCTGAAACAATTTTTTAAAAAGCCTCGTATTAAAGATGTAGTACACGAACCAGTACACACTTTACAAATTCTTTCAGTACTTAAAAAAGTGAACCATTCTTTATTAATAAAATCATTGAGCTCCAGTTAGAAGAAGTTCCCCTCAACTTTTTAGTATTGAACCCTTTGGGGCCAAGATCACGGAAGAAGAAGCAAACATTTTACTAACCTTTCAGTCATAATAGTCAGATCCCTATAAACTAGAAAGATGTGCTCTCCTAAAAATTAATCCAATCACCATTTTTTGATTTGTGTTTGAGAGGAGCTACAGAAGCCATCTGGTCATGACGACAGTCAGCACATCCGAGTCTGGACTGAGCCACCAACCCCAGGCCAGAGACTCGGAGGCACCTGGCCAGTGCCTGTCACGCAGGCTGCCCCAAAGCTCTGCACAGTAAGGGTGGGACACGGCCACAGGGAGGATGCCGCACACGGACGGCTCATCAGCAACCAGGGGCAGTGGCCGGGCAGCTCATGTGCGCTCGGTTCTTCACAGTGGACCACTCGCCCGCAGGAGTCGCCGGAGACGCGAGGAGCCCAATCCTGACAATCGGGCCCCAAAGTCATAGTTTTCAATACTAAAATACTAAATACTAAAATACTAATACTAAAAACACAAAGCAAATCTAATTTTAGAGACAATACTTAAAGATGGTTCCATGACAACTGAAAGGCACAGAGAGGAAATAAACACTACTGGAAGTTCTATATAATTATCCTATGACAGAATGGTTATCAAGATTCAAACTTTTTGGAATTTTTAAAAATCAGAAATAAAATCTTGTACATTTTACCATTAAGAATTATAATAATGTCAATGTTTAATTCTACCACATTCTTACATAGGGCGCCTTTTAATTTATTCTTGTATTATTGATTTGCAGAAAAATGATGAAAAAGTCCATAGAGACTCAGAAAATGCAAACTTTTTTTTTGTTTTTTGAGACAGGATTTCACTATACCTCCGGCTGGCCTGAAATTCGAATTCTCCTGCCTCAGCCTCTCAAGTGCTGGGATTACGGGCTTGTACCACTATGCCCAGTGCAAACTCCTTAGGAAGGCAGACCAGCTAAGCAATCCTTTCGCCAGACTGCACTCTGGTGCGAACACAGCGTCAGACACGGTCTGCAGCTCATGTGCTCTGTGGTCACACAGTGAAGCCTCATGGTTTTCATTGTTCCAGGGAGCAACCAGCCTAAAGCTGGAGAACCTGGAGGCTCCTGCACTCCAGACTCGCCTTTTCTGAGGGTCACAGCTCAAAAGCGCCTCCTACTGCAAAGAAGGAACCAGCAGTGAACTGTGGCTTCTTACAGTGCAGTTGCTTGGCAAGGAGAAAGTGGACAGGGAGAAACGGGGGTCTTGGGGGGCTGGAAACCACAGGCTTGCTGAGTCCGGGCGAGCTAGCCTGTCTGGGTCAGAGGGGCAGCCCCTGGGCCCGAGACGCCGGCCACATCCACGCCCTCCGGTGCCAGGGCCCAGGGTCTGGCTGTCCGACCTCAGTGAAGCTTGTGGTGCACTGGGTACAGCAGGCTCATGTGCTCCGCCCCTTTGAAGGGCAGCTTCGCGCTGGAGTAGTAGCGCACCACTTCCGGGACACTGTCGAACACTGCGCTGGTCTGATCCAGTGTGTATCTGTTGTCTTTGGTCTGTGCCACTATGATGTGGACACAGCCTTGACTCGTCCTGGAGGAGGAGATGTGTGTGTGAGAGTGAGCACAGGCCCTCCTGGGACACACCCAGCGGGCTCCCGCTGGCCAGCAGCTCCACAGAGGGACACACCAGCCCGCACGCTGCCACCTTTAACTGCTTCTCCTAGTGACACGTGAGTCATCAGGCACAGGACCCAAAGGAGCAAACCCAGTCTGTCTGGCCCGACCTGCAACCCTGGCCCAAATTGGGCCCTAGCCTGAGGCTAAGGTGCAGCTTGAGCTCAGCCCCTCACCACTGCTCGGAGGACAGGTGAGAGTTCCCGTGTTTTCCAGAAGGAACCCATCTGCAGTACGAACTGCCTGTGCCGCGTGGAAGGGTCCCTGGCTGTATTAAGGACAGCCGGCCGCAGGCCCACAGATCTCAGCTCCAGCTGACCCGGCCAGAGCCCGCTATTTCTGGCCCGTGTACCCGGCCTGGCCCGCAGCGCCCGCTGTCCCTCCAGGACCATTGTTTCAGCACAGGGGCTCAGCTTCCTCAGGAAGGAAATGCCGCTCCGGCTCTTGACAATGATCCTGCAGTTGGCCCTGGACGCACAGGGGGACAAGGTCCACCATGGCCTCCGCTGCCCGCGGGCGAAGCCTTCTCTGTGCTCAGGAGGATGGAGGAGGGCAGGTGGGCAAGTGGCGCCTCCACCCTCAGCACCAGACGGGGCGGAAGCCGGCTGGCAGCTGACAAACAAGGGATGCAATCTAAGAAGCTCCCGCGCACTGGGGCGTAAAGGAAGGCAACTGAACCACCCGTGAGAATTGTTCTTTTCGTCGGGAATTCTTTCTTTCCCAAGAGGCTCTCCTGCAGACCAGGCCCCGTCAGACTCTGTGCTAATGAGAGGGAGGCCCTGGTTGTTGGGGCAGGTCTGAGACCCTTCACCAGCGTAAGCAGAGCGCTTCGCTCTGTTGTCCAAGCACAGCACCTTATTTTCTGGACATACTCTGTGAGCCACCTTCAAATCACATCTATTAAATTTAATTAATTAATTAATTTTGGTTTTTTGAGACAGGGTTTGGCCATGTAGCCCAGGCTGGCCTCAAACTCATGGCGGTCCTGCCTCAGCCTCCCAAGCGCTGGGATTCCCATCCTGACTCCTGTTTTAACCGGTCGTCTGCCCATGGCCTCCCAGGAAGGCAGAGCAGTCAACCCCTGTGCCCGAGGAGGTGGAAGGCCGACACACTTACTTGAGAGCAATGGAGTACCTGCTGTTCCCTGACTCGCTACTCCGAACCAGGTACCCAGCTTCTCTGCAGGGCTGCAGCCGACTCTCCGCCTCGGCCCGGGAAATGGCGCCATGGTACCAGCTGCAAGATGGTGGGGAAGCAACGTGAGCGTGGAGATGAACCGACCCCCCCCATCTGGGAGCTCGGAGCTGCTTCCCTGGCAGGAGGCTGAGCAGGGCCTGGGCCAGCCCGCCCTCGTGGGTGCCGAGTCTGTTCTCGAGACCCAGGGTGCCCACTGGGCGGGGCACTCACGGCTGCCTGTCCAGGGCCAGGCCAGGGTCCGAGGGGGCTGGCCTCAGGGTCTTCGGGGTCCAGCTCTTCTGCCGGGGGTGCTGCCTCCCAGCCTCCTCCCTGGCCGGAAGTCGCTCTGCTCCTTCGAGCTGGGCTGCAAGGAGGATGCGTTTACCATGGGTCAAGCTCCTCCAGCTCCCAGCCGCTGCCCCTTAGGGTGTCCCAGGACTTTCAGAGCACGGCAGGAACCGCTGCAACAGGATTTGGTCACAAACAGGAGCATTTGGCAAAGTTTTGGTTTCGGCTGCAAACTCTGCCTCGGATGCCGAACGAAAAGCTTGGAAGGAAGGGACCAAGGCCTCGAATGTGGAGCCAGGAAGGGGCGGGGCCTCCACAGCCAGGCAAGTGTCTTCCCCTGCTGGGCCTGAACCGGGCACCTCTGCACCAAGCTACACCCCAGCCCCTTTATTCTTCCTTCTGAGACAGGGTCCCAGCTGCCCAGCTGGCCTGGGACTTACGACCCTCCCTCCTGAGACTCCCAGGTCGGCAGCATTACAGGTGACTGGCACTGTGCCCTGCTTCAAAATGGACCTCCAAAAGAACTCTTAGCTTTAGTACTTTAACTTTATCATTGTTTTTTGTTTTGTTTTGTTTTTGAGACAGAGCCTTGCTGTGTGGCTCAGGCCAGCCCTGAACCCACAGTGACCTTCCTGCCTCACCACGCCTGCCTTAGCTTTAGGATTTGTAGAATAAAGACTAACTATAGTCATGTCTAATGATCCCCTGCAAGAGTGTGTATCACTCTATGAAACAAGCGAACAGCTTTCCTGTGGAACACTGAAGTGGCTGGGCGCCGTGGCGCAGGCCTGTGATCCAGCGTCTGGGAGGCTGAGGTGGCTTGAGTTCAAGGCCAGCCTGGAACACATGGTGAGACCTTGTCTCAAAAAACAAAAGCCAGCCAACCAGCCAACAAACGAAGAAACAGAAAAAAGAAAAAAAGAACTAACAAACTGAAAAATCAACTCAAAACAAAAGAAGCCAGTGCACGGAGCCGCAAGGGCGCTGACTCAGAGCCAGGCAGGCCGGGGCCGGCTGGCAGAGGGGGTGGAGCCCCACGTACGCCGGGTCCAGTGTCCTCCACTGCCCCTGCACACCTGCAGTTACTGGCAGGGGGAAAAGATGTCCCTGAAATTTCACACCAAGGACAAAAGAACTTAGGCAGTCGGCCAAGTGGAAACTGTTCTGGGAGGAGCCGGGATGGTCATCTTCAATATGTGCCGGCAACCTAACGACCAACTTTCCCCTGAGCCCCCTGCAACTGGGGCCTGGCGGGGCCCAAGCTGTAGTCCCAGCCACTTGGGCTGAGCTGGGAGGTCAGCCTGGTGAGACCTTGTGTCAAAACGATAAAAACAAATCACACTTGCGGAGCTGATTCCTTTAGGAGGAGTCTTTATGGTTTTGGGGTCTCTTTATGTAGTGTAAGCTGTTCTTGAATTCGCTGCGATCCCCCTGCCTCAGCCTCCGAGTGCCGGGATCACAGGCGTGCGCAGCCAGGCCCGGCTGAGGCAGATCAGTGCTTTCGGACTGCGTGCGCGGCAGTGAGTGCGTGATGGATGTGCTGACCCCGTCCTGATTGCGCTGCTCGCGCACGCGTGGCCGGGATCACGTGCCCGGCAGTGCTCTGAGAGGTGCCCACCTGACAGCGCGCGCACGAGCTGCTGCTCCTTCCACTCCCAGGGCTGCTCGTACTCGGCCACGGGCCTCGCGTCGCCCTCGGGCAGCCGGCCTTCGGGGCTGGGCTCGTAAGGCAGGTCGTAGAGGTGCGGGGCCTTCCCCAGCAGGTCCCGGGAGCCCCGCCGCGCGCCGGCCCCGTTCTCCCCGGGCTCGCTGGGCCCCTCCAGCAGCTGCGGGGCCTTCACCAGGGGGTCCTTGGAGCCACGGCGCCTGATATCTGGAAAAACAACTTCAGGTCGTGTGGACGCCCCGGCCACGATGACCGCTGACCGGGGGCTGGCGGGACTCGGAGGCTCCCCAGGGCCACCAGCTTCGGGCTAGGAGCCCCAGCAGGCGCCGACCCCTCCCACGCTGCCGGACAGGGCCGCACCTCGCGGGCGCAGGGACCTGCATCCCCGCTGTCCCCGTGTCTGCTCCAGGCAACCTCATCCTTGGGCCACATCACCTTAGCAAACCCATGTGGAAGGACGGCGACGGAAACCGGCTGCATGTCTGTGACGCGAAAGCACCGCTCCACACACAAGGGAAGCGCCGTGCGAGTCGGGCCACAACCGCAGGGCAGACCCAGGCAGCAGCCGTGCCGGAACTGATCACCGCCCCACAGACGGCGCCGGTAGCCCGGCCAGGCCGCGGTGGGCGCCGCTCTGCCACCGCGACGGCTCTGAGGTGCTTCTCCCAGCCAGAGAGAGGAGACTGCCGCACACCGGGGGGCCAAGCCTGGGGTGCCGGCAGGAAGCTGGTGCGAGAAGCCACACTGCCCCTGCTCCCGGGTGGGTCCCAAGGGGGCCGTGGGGAGCACGCGGCTTTGACGGAGAAGGCGGTTTCCGGGAGGACAAGCGATGAAGAGGAGGCCGGAGCAGAAGGGGCTTTATTTCCACACAGGGGACAGAAGACCGAAGAGCAGGGGGTGGTGGGGGAGCAGCCGGAAAACCAGGTGAGCCAGGTGCAAGTGAAGGCGTCAGAAGGGCGAGGGAAAAGCCCGGACTGGCCGGCGCAGTGGTGCACACCCGCAATCCCAGCACCCAGCAGGCCGAGGCAGGAAGATCTCCTCAAGGCTGCCTGGGCTACATAGTGAGTTCAAAGAAAGCCTGAACTACACAGTGAGACCCCGTCTCAACAAAAACCAAAACAAAACAAATGCAAAAAAGAAAAGAAAAATGTTTGAATTATTCTATGTGCAATGCAGCAATCTATACGGTTTTTTGGTGTGCTTTTGTAGAACTGAGGATTGAACCCCGCCCAGGGCCTTTGCACTGAGCTGCATGCTTGGCCTTTCAAACATTTTTTATTTTGAGGCAGAGCCTAGCTAAGCTGCTGAAGTGTCCAGGGCCCAGCCTGGGCCCCAACTCTTGGTCCTCAGCCTCAGCCTGTTAGAGCGCTAGGGTTACAGGTGTGCATACGAGGCCCGGCCCTTTGCAGGGCTTTTAACTGAGAATAATACCCTTGCCTGTCCCTTCACCGGCAGGCACCCCAGTCGAAGGGAGGAGTGAGCCAGAGAGGCACGGCTGGGTCTGAGGCACAGACATGCGCCTCGCCGCCTCGGTGGGCGGGAGCCAGGGTCCCACAGACCTGTCCGTCTTCGTCCTCCCAGCCGCGGGCTGCCCAGAGGCCCCACACACCGCTGTCCCGCACCAGCCGGGCCTCCACGTTCGCCACGGGAGGCTGAACTGTGTGCACGGGACCAGGCGGTCGGTGGGCAGGCATCATGGAGGCTGCACATCACGCTGCCCAACGCCGTACGAGTGAGAGCGACCGCAAGAGGAGCACGGGACCGAAAGGATCAGAGGGCCCAACGTGGAGGCCGCCCTGCACCCAGGAGGCGCCAGCTGCCAGTGAAATGCAACGGGCTGTGCAGTCCCTCCTCCGTGCCCAAGCTCGGCTCGCCAAGGTGCGGCTCACAGGCGCGGTCGGCGCCGCTGACGCAGCTATGCTGTGCAGACCCTCTATGAAGACGGGGCCCACCTGGAGTGTGCCCAGTGCCCGTGTCGCAGGCCGAGTGTACAAGCCAGGCTTGACCTGGCCAGGCAGGAGGAGCGCAAGTGGGGGCAGCAGGAAGAACTGGGCTGCAGGCGCCTGGACAGGACTCAGCCCCATAGCTCAGAGCAGTGCAGCGAGGCTCCCTGGAGAAGAGGTGACACTCGGTACCATTTCTCTCTCTCTTTTCTGTTTTTGTTGGGTTTTTGGAGACAGGGTCTCACTATGCAGTTCAGGCTGGTCTTGAACTCACTAGCCCAGGCTGGCCTCCAACTCGTGGAGATCCTCCTGCCTCAGCCTCCCGAGTGCTAGGGTTACAGGTATGTGCCACCACACCCAGCTCATTATCATTTCTGTACCAAGCAAGGGACAACAAATGGCCAAAGAGTTACTGTATAAAGGGCAGCAGGTACGGTGACCTACACATGTAGCCCTAGCACTCGCCCAGGCCGGAGGATCTCCATGAGCTGGAGGCCAGCCCAGGCTACGTACTTCTCTATCATCTCAAGAAACCTCGAGGACCGCGTCCACACTTCCTGACCCCACAGCCCCACTCACCTCCTCCTGCTGCGGGGCTGATCTCTCCCGGCCCAGCCTGTCCCCGGGACACTGCCTGCACCACCTCTTCCTCAGCCCAGTGTGATGCCCTAGGCCCCACCCTGGGCAGGCCAGAGCTGCGCCTCGTGTCTCAGCCTCCTGACTTTCAGTCCCACAGCTTTTTACCTTCCCTGCCTGTTCCAGACAGAGCTATGGAAAACAAGAAACAAAAGCCACCTTTGTTCCTGGTTCACTGAAGATAAGGCTGGCACCTTTAAAAAGAACATTTCTCAAGAACCAAGAAAAAGGAAGCAGAAAACCCAAAGGAAGTCAAAGGATGAATTCAGCATTTTCCAGTTTCTAGTCAGAGTTCATTTACCCTCACTTCAGGCTGTGGCACAGGCTGCTGAAAGTCTTCCCCAAGGTCCTGGCTTCAGTTCTGCACAAGCTGAACTAAAGGAGAAGCAGTCGATTCTAACGTAAAATATAAGGAGTCCAAGGGCCTGTAATCCCAGCACTCGGAGTCTGAGGCGGGGGATCCCAAGCTCAAGTCCACCCTGGGCAGTTTAAGGACACTGTAGGGCCCTGTCTGAAGGTAAATAAAAGGGCTGAGGCTGAAACTCAGCGGGAGGGGCCTGGGCTCATCACCAATACTGCATTAAAGCAAAAACAAAGCTGCAGAAGCGCTGCTTGCGAGGAGGCTTCAGCGAGTCCGCATCCCAGCAGGCAGGCTCTCCTCTGCCCCGACTCCCCCTCTGCAGCCCGTGGCCCCTGAGGTCTGGGGGAGTCCCGAAGCTGTGGACGGGCCGCATTTACCTGGGGACGCTTGGACACCCCCGGAGCCGCTCTCCCAGCCCCCACCAGCACCTGGCCGCCCCCACCCGAGGCGCCACAGAAACAGAAACAATCGCAGGGCGCGGTGGCCCTTCCTGCAGGGGAGCAGCCCCTGATGCGGAGCAGGCTCCGGGAGGAAACGGTCCTGAGAGAGAGGAAGCGGGAGGAAGCTACACCCTGGCCGTGACAGAGGCACGCACAGTGAGAGACAAACATGCGCCGCCCCCGCCGGCCCGCCGGGCAGTGAGGACCCGCTGGGCCGCAGGCCCTCCCCCAGCTCTCCCTACGGGGCCTAAGGGCGCCACTTGCTTCTCTTCTAAAGCCACGAGGAGGACTTTCTCTCACTGAATTCACTGCCACTAGTCCAGCAGTGTCCAGGGTTATCTGAAAATGGGATTCTATCTGAAGCATCTAAGTAACAACCATATTTGCTGGGCAGGCAGCTATTAGGCAGCTCACGGAAGCCACGTCACACACTGACAGAGCAGTGAGCCCATTTCTCAGGTGAGTAGGCCGAGGCCACAGTCCTGGCACCATCAGTGGTGAAGCATTCATTACAGGCTCCAGGGCCCAAGCTTTATCCACACTCAAAAGAGCTCATGTAAAATGTTACAGAGTGTGGCAGCACTCAGGAGGCTGAGGCAGGAGGATCACCACAAGTTCAAGGCCAGCCTGGGCTACATAGTGAAGACATAAACCCTGTCTCAAAAAACCAAGTTGGGACCTGGGATTTAGCTCAGTGGCACAGCGCCTGCCTCACAAGCACAAGGTCCTGAGTTCGATCCCTAGTAGAGAAAAAAACAAAACAAAACCACCAAGAAAATGAAGTTAAATACAGTCTAAACAATGCATCTTCCCGTCACCCCCTCATGTTTCCACACAGGAGTCTGGAATCAGAAATAGGGCTGTTAGCTCTTCTATCAGTGTCAAGCTTCTGATCTGAAATGACTTTCACACTTCCTCGTCAAATGAATCTAACTACCTGAACAAAAGCAGGTATAATTCAGAACCCCTGGAGTGTAACAAGGAAAGCAGAGGTAAATGCCACAGTCCAGGCTGGAGCTGCAGTCAAAGGGTGAGCAGGTGTGAGGCCCAGGCTTCCCCGCACCACACACAACAAAAACCCCAACAAAACCATTTGGAGGCAAAAATTTTAAAAAATGTTTTTTTGGTACTGGAGATCGAACTCAGGACCTTGCGCTTGCGAGGCCCCCAGCCCCCAAAATATAATTTGTAAACACAATCTTTGACTGGAACTTGACAGCCAGGCCTAGGGTTCCGGTGGTTTCTTCCTTTCTGAGTCGAGGCCCCTGAGCCAGTGGAGAAGCTGCTTGGAGGGAGGGAGGCCTTGGGCGAGGTGGCCCCCGGAAGCCAGGGTGGGGCCTGTGGCAAGACGAGCTTCGCCATCACTCTGCCCAAGCCTCTGGCCGGCAGCTGTCCCAGACAGAGCTGCAGGAGCCACGCGCTAATTGATGGCCCTGGGGACTTCCAAAGACCCATCCAATGTGCTTTCAATTCTGCAGCTAAAATCCACAATGCTCAGTTATTTCTGCAAATTACTGAGCTAAAATATTCCTGCTAATTTAGCAGAAAACAAAAGGTTTGGGGTAATATCACCTGTATGCACAGTCACAGACAACTCCATGGATCGAGTGCAGGGAGAATTTATGCATAAATTCCCTTTCTTTCTGGTGACGCTAGGGATGGAGACCAGGGCTCACACATGCACTTGGACGCTCCAGCACTCTACGCTTTAGTTCCAGCCCGGGTTCTTACTGCGGCGAGTTAAGAGCAAAGCTGGGGGGACTCCAGGGACCCCAGTCGCAGCAAATTGGCCACGGGAAGCTCAGCTCCCAGTGTCTGTTCCTGCTCCCCGACAAAGCTGGTGCTTCTCCTCCGCCTGCTGGCTCCTCGGGCTTTCCAGTGACTTCTTTGCTGCCCTCCTGTGGGGCAGGGTCTTGCCCAAGCCTCCACCTGCGTCCTCCCTGCAGCTCCCCAGTGCAGGGTCACAGCTGTGCGCCGCCAGCCGGGCTTCCTGGCTTTCCTTCTCCTGTTTCACCCAGGGTTGTGCTGTCGGAGGGTGCAGTCCCAGAGGCCTGGCTGTCTGTCCGTCTGTCTGGCATGGGCCACTACACGGTGCACGGGACGGCACACGACGGCACACACGCTGCACACCAAGGCGCTGTTAGCACCAGGCATGCTCTGCTCTCTCGCCGGTGGGCTGTTGACACAGACTCCCCACCCGCCTGGCCACATGAAGCCACACCCTGCAGAAAGGCCGGACCCCTGAACCCTGACATTCTCCTTCAGGAATATGAGAAACTTCTGTGGCTGGTAGAGTGCACAACTAGTATGTGTGAAGCCTGGGTTTTATCCTTAGCGGGGGGGGGGGGGGGGGGGGGGGGGGGGGGGGGGGGGGGGGGGGGGAGAGGGGAAGGGAGAGGGAGGGAAAGGGGGAAGAAAAAACATGGGAAATTTCTGAACTTGAATTTGACAAGCAAGCATATACAGAGCAAAATGTTTTTTAAAAAAAGTATAAGATTTAGCTGGGCAGTGTGGTGCATGCCTGTAATCCCAGCCCTCTGGGAGGCTGAGGCAGGAAGATCACAAAATCCGAGTCCCACCTGGGCAACCGAGCAAGATTCTGTCTCAAAATAAAAAAATAAAAAGCACCAGGGATGTAGCTCGGTGCAAAGGGCCTGGGTTTAATTCCCAGACTACCCCTTCCCATTGCAAAAGATTTAATAAAAAAACCCAGCAGCATATCTTTTATTTCCAGTTTCCAATAAACTCACTTCCTGTTATTCTGTCTAGCTGTGTAACCAAGGGGCAGACTAAGGGGCGTCTCCTCTGCATGGACTGAGGAGACACTTTGTGATATACATTTAAATAAGACTCACTGATAGAATTTTTAAGCTAAAAGTACTGCATACTTAGATTACTAATTTAGAAGTTAGTAATTTAGATTTAAATAAATTTGATTTACCAATAGATTGTTAATTTTGTATTCCTAAATAAATTTATTCACGTAAACTGTTTAAAACAGCCCCAAATTTAATAAACACTCATTATGAAACACTAGCTATCATATTTACTTCATGTTGGAGACCTTTTACTTTTATTTTTTCAATTTTTTGGGGGGGCGGGTACCAGAGATCGAACTTGCGCTTGCGTATTTTTTCCATTTTGACTTTCTTTTTTTTTTCTGGTTTTTTGAGACAGGTTCTCACTATGTAGTTAAGACTGGTCTTGGACTCACCATGGAGTCCAGGCTGCCCTTGAACTTGCAGCAATCCTCCTGCCTCAGCCTCTTGAGCGATGGGATTACAGGCATGGGACACCACACCTGGAAAATTTTGACTTTTATTAAATGAAATGCTTTTTGATATTTTGCAACTCATTTCAGCAGCTGCTATTTGTGGGGGCGGGCACTGGGGATCAAATTCAGGACCTTCCACTTGCAAGGCAGGCAGGGGAACCACTCAGCTAAATCCCTGGCCCGAAAATTTTGACTTTTGACTATAACATTCTTAATGAGTCTAAGCCAAAAGATGCCCTAGTTATGGGTCAAGTTTACAGTTCTTTTTTTATTTGTCAGACATAGAGAGATTAAACCCAGTGCTATTGCTCTGGGCTACACCTCCAACCCATTTTTGTTTTTAAATTTTTACTTATTTTTATGTGTGTGTGTGTGTGCGCATTCCGCCCCTGGTTGTAGTCACACTGGTTGAGACAGGGTCTCACTGTATAGTTCAGGCTGGCCTTGAACTATGTAGCCCAGGCTGGACTCGAACTCATGGTGATCCTCTTGCCTCAGCCTCCCAAGTGCTGGAGATTGCAGTGTGTGTTACCATGCCTGGGATTATTGTTTATTTTGAGACAGAGTTTCATTAAATCACTAAGCTGCCCAAGGCTGTACCCAACCTTGGGAGTCTCCTGCCTCAGCTTCCCAGAGTGCTAGGATGACAGGGGCATTCCACCACACACAGCTAAATTCATTCAGTGCTTTTACATGCATTGTTTCAAGTGTGTCTCAGGGACAAGGAGGTGAGGGGCAGACCGCTAAATCTGGGGTGGGAAATGTAGGTTCCAAGTCCTGTTGTGTCTCTTTAAAGTCTGTGAGCGCAGCCAGGTCCCTGTGCTCTCGCTCTCTTGCCGTTAGAAGGAGTACATAAGGCAGCCCCTCATCTACAGAGCTCCTGTAGGGCTACTTGAAATGCAAAAATCTACATTCAGTTTGTACAGCACAGAGTTTTCCTGATTGCTGGTGTGGCTCCTCAAATAAACAGCCTGTGTGACACAGACAACCCATTTGTACGGTTATAGAGAAGGATAAAAACCAAAGGGTGAGATGGGCATGAGGCGAACGCGTGTAACAGTGGGTGACAGGAAGTAAGGCCTGTGAACCCAGCACTGAGAGGCAGAGGCAGGAGAGTCACCATGAGTTTGAGGCCAGCCTGGGCTGCACAGCAAGACCCACCTCAGAAACAAACAGACAAACAAAAAATGCAAATTAAAACAACAACCAAAAGAACCAAAGGACAAAGAACCAGTGAATCAATTAAACATTAATAATTCTTCCTTTTTTTTAAAGAAATTTTTTCCCTTCATTGTAAAAGCAAACCCTTACCCTATTCCTTTCAAGGTTCTGACATTTAAAAAAATTCTGACTAAGTTCATTTTCACTTCCTTTCATTCACAGATTTCATGAGGGGTCACAGCCAGTGACCTGAGGGGTCACTGCCTGGCCGGTACCCATCGGAAGGCAGCGCCTTATCTCTGGAAGCAGAGGCAGGAAGCTGAGCTTCGCTTTCCTGTCGTTTGTTGGCTTGGGTGGGGGCTGGGCGGGCCAGCCAGGGTGCTGTGCTGCTCCGTCCTCCCCGTGCCCAAGGCCTGGGACCAGCTGCTCCTTCCCCAGACACAGAGCCCCTCCACGAGGCTCCCAGGCAGAAACTGCATTTTCATTGTGGATCAAAGGAAAACTGGGTGAAACACTGAATCCACCTTAACATCCCCAAATCCACCTAAACAATTCCTTTACATTATTGTTATTTTGTGTGTGTGTGTGCGCATGTGGTACCAGGGATCAAACTTAGGACCTTTGCGCTTCCCAGGCAGGTGTGGTTCCACTGAGCTACATCCTCGGCCCCTCCTTTGTATTATTTTGACTAAGTATCATTTACACCAACTTCAGAGAACTAGGAGAAAAGGAAAAGTTTGGCACCAAAAGTCACAGAAGGATTTGCCCAAACGGGATTTTTCTGACCTGAAAAGATACCAGATTACTCAAACTTGGTTTTAGGCCATTTGCCCTGAGTGCTGGCTCGTGACAGTAACTGTTAATTATTCTGCAGTAATAAACAATTCGCTCCAGCGTTGCAGAACTGGAGAAAATCTACAATAGAGGATCACGTCAAGTCTGCAACAGTCCCACTGTGGGTGTCGAAGCTTTTGGATGTGGCCAAGAAATGCATGTAAATGACCTTAAAACTGAAGACCCGTTCTGAGCAGATCTGACTGCTGGGTGTCATCTCCCACAGCATCAGAAAATCTTTAGAAACTCCTGCAAATGCTGAAACTCTAGAGGTCCCTACACCAGAATGGAAGCCACTGTCTCTGTGCTTCGGCAGGATCCCGCCCAGTGGCTCCACCCCTCTTCGCACCCGGCCTCCCTCGGCAGAGCACTGGCCTAGACACAGCTGGCACCAACCTGTGATCATCTGCTGTGCATCGTAGGGCTCCATGTAGCCGTCATTCTCACCGACTCTCTCCGCATCCCTCTGCCCCTTCGTCCGCTTGGCATCATAAGGGTCAGCGTAGTCTTCTAGGATGATGACCTGCCAGGGAGCAAAAGCAGACGGCACTGCCCATGCCTGTCATCCCCAGAGCCACACAGGCCTGCAGGCCTGAGAGCTAATGTTGTAGTGGCTCCAGGCAGCTCTCTATCCAACCGTGTGTCACTTGGAAGCACTTTTTTCTGTAGTATCACTGATTTGCAACAATTCATTTAAGCTCTTCTACACAGCCTCTGTTTTTTTCCACTTTCTCTCCTCCAGCAATAAACATCTGTGGGCTGGGCGGGGGAAGAACCCGCTAAGCGCCATGGAACAACCAAACCTGCTCCACCTCGCACACTGCCAGGCTCAAGCCCCCATCAATGGCAGCGGGGCGAGTCCCGCACCACGCCCAGCGCTGCTAAGCACTGGGGGAGCTGAGCGAACCCAGGCCTGCCTCCTGTCCCCAAGGGGCTCCTAACAGCTGCAAAGACACAAGCCTCACACAGGAGCGCAGGTTAGCACGGAACAGAGCTGCCCCAGTTCCAGGTTTGGTGTTTCACAGCCAAACTGACCCTCTTGGGCTGTTTGCTTTGGACAGTGCTGGGGATAGAACCCAGGGCTATGCACTGAGCCACATCTTCAGATTTTAAAACGATTTTTTTTGAAATAGGGTCTCAGCAAGTCACTAAGTTGCCTGGACTGGGCTTGAACTTGGGACCCTCCTGACTCAGTCTCCCAGAGTGCTGGGATGACAGCCAGGTGCCACCACACCCAGCTCACACAGTTCTGGTGACATCTGTGTCTGAGAACTCCTACCTTTCCAAAGAATATACCAGTGCTGCCCTGCAGCAGCTGGGTGACAACACCAAGGACAGATCCCTTCCCAGGGAGGCAGCTCGGGGACCTGCTGCACAGTGTGATAGTGCTCTCTCAGAGAAAGTTCACGGAAATGTACCTTCTGGAGCTGGCAGGAAGACCCCGACCGCAAGGAAAGGGAGGAGGAGGGTGCAGACCGTACAAGAGCCCTCGGCCCGGAGGTGGCCTAGCAGAGTGCAGTCACTACAGGTGGGGCTCCTGACCACGAGGGACCTACTGAGAGGACAGCGTGAGCCCCACCCTCCTTCAGCCTCGCACAGCCTCGAGGCACAGAGCAAACACGGCTGGTGAGAGGCCTCGGCCGACTGACCGCCAGGCCCACCTCGGGGTTGCATGCGTGCTGGCTCCTCGCCGGGGACAGGGCACAGGGCACAGGGCAGGGCCGGGATGGGCTGCGTGGAGGTGCACACAGGCGCCACAGAGGCCAGGCCACTGCCCGTCCAGGTGGGCATCGCGCCTGCAGCGTGGCCAGGAGAGAAAATGAAAGTTCCCTCGGCACGAAGCGAGCCCTGGGCTGCTCCACCTCTCCCGGTTCACAAGGAAGAAACCTGGGGCCCACGAGCAGGCTCATCCCCTTGAGGACGGCCGGGGGAGGCCTCCCGAATCCGCTCCTTTTCCCGCCTTCCACGCTGGGAGGCGCAAGCCCCTGAGCCACAGGCGGGAGGCACCTTCTCTCCCGGCTGGGCACCTCCGCGTCCCTCAGCCCGGCCTGGTGTCCCGGGAGGAGGTGGCAGCCCCTTCCCGCCGACCAGCCCAGGCCGGGCCCACGGGTCGCCCGGCGCAGCGTTCGCGAGGCGACGCCGTCGCGCCCCTCTGGGCGGCTCCCAAAGCTCGGCCGACCCGCGCAGCCCACAGGCAGGTCCTGGATTTTCGGCGCCCGGGGTGGGGCGGCGGGGCCCTTACCGTGTCCCGCGGCCTCGGCACCTGGCCCTTGTCCGGCTCGGGGCCCGGCGAGGACGGGGACGAGGCCGCGGAGCCGCCCGGGCCGTCCAGCTTGATGAGCCGGCCCGTGTAGGTGCCGCAGCCCGAGCCCCGCGCCGCGCCCCGGCCCGGC